GAAATTTACCTATGTGGGCGCTAATTTCGGCCACCATACAATATGATTGGACACAGCTGCAACATGCGGCTGAGGTTCCACAATTTATAAGAGACGCCAAGCAGCAACCGTTAATTGAAAATGTGATCAATGGTTTGCAGAATCAAATGCCGTATATTATGAATTGGTTGCTGTCTGTGCTATCCGGTGTGATCTCGGATTTGCTAGTCAACTATGAGATATTCTCCGTGACGGTTATGCGAAAACTGATGGCATTCGTAGGTGAATATTTAGTTTCAACAAATCATAGACTAGAAATGAGAAAATGTAAAACGAAAAAATAATTATTTTCCACCGTAGCTGCAGTGGCCCCCAATTTGTACGATAGTCTGCTGCCTTGTTTAAGTTGCAGTGAAACGAGCAACTTATTTGCCTTCTGCCATTGTGCCATAAATGTGCTGGGCAGTTACTATGCGGGCATAAAATTGACACCGTTAGATATGAGTCCGAATTTCGCAGCCACACTTATGGGTATTGCTAATGGCATAGGCTCGATTTCGGGCATTGTTGCACCGTTTATCAAGCACTCGTTCGCTGGTTGGGTGGGTATACATTTATTTTTATGTTAATATTAATGTATTTTTTTTTATTTTTATTAGAATTTTATATATTTATTTTAACTTTATGTTAAAAAAAATTGCTTTTAAATATTGATATATATTTATTTTTAGAAGTAGAAATTTAATTAAATTTTAATTAAAATTTTGTAAATATTTGATTGTTTATTTCCAGGCACAATTCAAAATTGTGCACGCTTTTTTATGGTTAATTTCTACGCTGCTGATATCGGGCGATATACAACCATTTGATCAACTAATCCCTTTGACGTCAGATTCGAATAAAATTGAATAAAAATTTGCGTTTATTTGTTATACTAAGCAATTAAAAGCTAAAAAGTGTGCCTTTAAAGATATAAAATGATTTTTTTTTTAGAGAAAATTAATTTCGCCACCACATTTGAAGAAAGAAGTCGAAGAACCTATAAAAAGTAAACTACACGGTTTGTCCAGAAAGTAATAGGACTGATTTTCTTCCGCCGAGACTGTACTTCGGAGTATGCGCCCACCGACTGGATTCGGTAGAGGGCGTTCCCAGCTAACGAGCGAGCGGCTGGTCAGTTGTCTCCGAGTACCTGGAGAGTCAGGACAAACATTTCCGCGCGACGTGTTTCTGTAAGGGGACCAAGCCGAAAATGTAGCGTTAGTTAGAGCAGAGGTACGCTATGAAATTCTGTGTGAAACTCGGTAAATCTGCGACAAAGACGTTTGATATGATCAAACAAGCTTACCCAGATGTTGCTTTAGCAAGATGTGGTGTGTTTCGGTGGCAACAGGCTTTTTTGGAGGGCCAGGAAGAGATCGCCGATGAACGAACAAAATCAAGTTCCTGTAGGGAATTCAATTTTATTTGACAAGATATCTTCACGAAATTTGGAATGGAACATTATTCAATGCAACGCTACAACCTCCGAATAAATAGCATATCACTGCTATCCAAACTGTCCGACCGAAATAAACTTCGTGTATGAAAACCGGATAAAAGTCCGGGTCCGTCCCGGTTACGTAGACTCGACTGTCGTGGGAACGGAAGTGAAGGATATTCTTGTTTCGGTTAACGTTTTTTTTTCCTTAGGTGTAGCAACATATGTACATGTATAGGTACATAGTATAAATACATTTAAGTGTTGATGTTCGGAAAAATTAGTGAGGTTATAAATGTTGGCGAAATTGCAGAAGCTCTCTAAATGAACCTTCATGTGAGAACGTCGCAATAAACATGCATCTATATTATTATTTTTACTTAAAGAATTAATATTTATTCATATTTGATTACGTTTAATAATAAACTCAACTAAACTAGTTCGAACATTGGTTTATCTGAGTTTGTTTTTAAACCAAATGTGGGAGTAAAATCACACTGGATAAAAATATATCCGAGTATTTATTAAAATTACGTATTACATTGAAATTTTTAAATTTTGTAATGTAAAAATTTTTTTTTATGAATTTGAAAATTTTGTCAAACAAAAAAATTGGCAACTGTGTAATTACTCGAAACGAGAAATAATGCTAATAATAAAATAAAAACAGAAAAATAAATAAATAAAATGGAAAATATAGAAGATAAACGACCAGAATGGGGTAAAAAATTATCGCAAAGTAAGTTTTAAGAAGATAATATAGTGCATACATAAAATATACATATATGTATTTCTAAACTTTTCCAATTCAGTTGTGCCGATACCACAACGGGTCATCATGTCTATAATGGGATTTCTCTCCATAATTAACAATTACACGCTACGTAGTTGCATTTCCGTTACAATTACACGCTTAGTTTTAGAGCGCAAGTATTCGAATGAAACAACAGCTAGTGGAGAAGTTTGTCCAAAACCCGATATAACCATTGAGGAAGAAAAAGTAAATATACATACTACATATGTGTGACAATAGCATATCACTGAGGTTATTGTAAAAACAAGCGCTTCTTTCGTTTTCTACGTAGATACCGGGTGGCGAATATGATTGGTCACAGGAACTGCAAGGTTACATACTTGGCTCTTTTTACATAGGCTATATTATAGGACATGTACCTGCTGGTTTGCTAGCCGAAAAATATGGCGCTAAATGGGTGTTAGTTTGTGGCATGTCTACAGTAACGATATTAACATTATTAACACCCTTATGCATCACATTACTCGGACCGTATGCTTTAATTTTGCTACGTAGTGTAATGGGATTCGGTGCTGGCTTTTCATATCCTTCCTGTAGCGCACTATTGGCTCATTGGGTACCCGTACATGAACGCAGTTTACTGGGTGCTTTTATAATGGGCGGCGGCCAAATGGGTACCGTGCTAAGTAATAGTATTTCAGGCACTTTACTGCGCTACACTACATGGCCTTGGGTATTTTATACATTTGGTATAATGGCGACCTTATGGGTTGTGTTTTTTGTAAGTTATAGTAGTACTGCTATTAATCCAATAACTTAATATGCATACATTAATGAATATATAATAACAATTGTAGATATTGATGTGCTTTAGTGATCCTAATTCGCATCCCTATATCAGTGACAAGGAAAAGGAGTATCTGCTGAAACATATGGGTCGTCTTGGACGTGACCATAATTTACCCCCGTTCCCTTGGATTCCCGTATTTAAGAGCAAAGAAATGTGGGTGCTTATTTTGGCACAAATCGCGCACGATTGGGGTTTTTATGTTATGTCTTCATGTTTTCCAAAATTCTTAAATGATGTATTGCAATTGCAAATTCTTAAAACCGGCATATATTCTTCAATTCCATTTTTATTATTTTGGTTATCTTCGCTACTCCTGGGAGCAATAGCGGACTGTATAATTAAACGGAATGTGACACGAGCAACATGTGTTCGCAAATGGATGACGTTCATTGGTAAGCCGATTTTGAAAAATTCGATTTGTAATAATGTTCTGGGCAACAATTAGCACTTTAAATGCAACAAGAATGAAATACTTTCTTCTTAACCGATCGCTTACAATAGCCATACATATGTGTATATATTTAAATAGGCCATATATGTAGCCGCTTACCTTAATTAAATGTATATTATCACACAAATTTTTCGCACACTAGCTGCCACGCCTTCAGGGCTCTTCATGGTTATAGCCGTATATATTGGTTGTGATACAGTGTGGATAATTTTAAGTTTTTCCATCTCAATGGCACTCATGGGCGGTTATTATGCAGGAATAAAGCTAACTGCAAACGATATGACACCTAACTATTCAGCTACAGTTATGGCTATTGTAAATGGTATAGGTGGCATTGCTGGTGTACTCGCTCCGTATTCTGTAGGTTGGATTACTGTAAAGGTATGAAAAGTATAGAAATATTAGTTGTATTTAAATATTACTAATTTAATATATATATATATATAGACTCTATTACATGAATGGCAGGAAGTATTCTGGTTGGCGCTTGCTATTCTAACGCTACCCACAATTCCATTTTGCATTTGGGGTACAGCAGAAGTACAAGAATGGAATGAACCTGCCAAGAAGGAATAATTATTCTTATTCATCACAAAATTACTGCCACAACCAATTTGATTGGAGTAATATTGCAATAAATTTGTTTCGAAAGAGTACAACGTACTTTATATTTAATAATTAGCAAAAATTTACCACTACTTGTGACAATGAAGCATTCTCCTTGTTAATTTATTTCCCCATATCTATCACTCGCAATTTACTCACCTTTACTATCTTATGGTACATATTCATTTGTGGTACAATTTTTAATCAATAATAAATAATTACGACCAACACTTAACTTATTTTAACACCTAATTATGAATTTTAAAATAATTTCGATTTCCGCTCGCGCTTAAATGGCATTTTTTCGCCAAAATGGTTTTACAGTTACGAACAGTGTTGCCAGTTATTTAAGTGATGTGGTGTTGTTAAATTTCTAGTCATTTTTGTTCTATTACATAAATCAGCAAAAAAAAGTAATCATAAACATTGATATAGTTAAATTAAATTAATACTTATTGTAAATCAATAAAATGGTAATAACAGAAAATTTTGTAATCATGCTGTACAAAGAATTCTATAAGAATGCTTAGCTATTCAATATTCGTCTTTTGAACAACTTAAGTAACCGGATGCAAGTTTCAATTTGCAACCATTTGTAACAACGGAAACATTAATATATATGTATATAAAACGTATAACAAGATGTCGTAAATATTGTGTCGTGTTCAACTTTGAAGTTATGCGGAGAATTCATTTCGGACAAAAAAGCAATGTGTTTTCATCTGACTTTGAATAAATAGGTAGTTTAGTATAAAATGAACTTACCTGTATAAGGAAGTTTGCTCCTCATAATTTATGCAAAAATGTTTATAATTAAACCAGATTGAAGTATTATGTAGTATTAAATTTATTTATTTTATCAATAACAACGATCTAAACGTACATAGGTAATGGGGTAATTTATTTCTGAATGTATTCAAGATGTACTGAATAGCATGTACAAAACAAAATTTCATTATAACAAAAATTAAAAAATTATGACTTTCGAACTATTAACAAGACCAATGCTACACAACAAAATTGGTATAATTTTTTAAAATATCTGTATCCAGCAGTTTGTGATTGTTACATACTTATTTCTTATACTATAACGCATATACTTTTATGCCGCATATTAGAACAATATCAATCTTTGCGAATATTTAAAGTTAAAATATAAAAAACAATACAAAGCATTAACACTTTACGAAATTGTATATATTCAACTTTAAATACTGCAATGATTATACTTTCTAGGCCACTGTTTCGTTTTCAGGAGGAGAAATGCTTGGAGACATTCTTGCTGCAGTTGGTTTTTTTCTTAACTCATTAAAAACTATTTTATGTTTAGTTAGTTATATTGCAAGAAAGTTGAAACAGGATCTACTTTGTAAATATCTTAAGTATTCATTTCTATACTATGCTGTTTAAACAGCTGTCGGCATCATTCCTTGCTGCGCTAACGCTGATATTTTTGACATATCAATACCCAATTTGCGTGTAACATTTAGTTGTGCAACCGCCGCATTACGTAAAGCATACAAATGACCCATTTCTGATTTGCTCTTTGATAACTTAATAGCTTTCTCGAAAAGTTCCACAGCACGATTTAGATTAGCACGTTGCACTTCTATAGTGCCTAATGTTTCATATGCCAATAAACATTTATTGTCCACCTCTAGCGCTTGATTAATTAATGTAATCGCTTTGTCGATGTCACCCTTCCATTGCAATAGCATTACACCACGATGTACATAGAGCGACGCATTTTCTGGTGCTATCTTTAAGGCTTTCTCATAAAATTGTTCTGCTTGTTGGAATTGTTGTTGATCCGCAAAAACTTGTGCCATTAGACTATAGCATTCAATGCAGTCGGGGAATTTCTCAATGGCGTTTTTGAATTCATTCATTACGATCATTAGGCGCATTTGATCCTGAGACAACAATGCCAAACGATATTCGGCGTAACATTTCTGTATGTAGGCCATTGCGTGATTTGGTGATAACTTCACTACTTTCTCAAACTCACTTAATGCTTCTGGCAATTGATCGAGCAGTATATAAATTTGCGCACGTTGATGATAAATATCGGGATTATCAGGTTGCAATTTGGCGGCGGCATCGAAATCAGCTAAGCCCAAATCCTTCTCTTCCTTCTGTATGTGTAACGAGGCACGTTTAATAAGAGCAGTTGCACGCAACGCAATATCAGCATCGGCTATAATAACACAATATATGCATATACATGAAAAATTCACCCATGAAATAATATTAATTCAAATACCGTTATTTATCACAGCATCAAAATCTTGCTGGGACGCATTGAAGCCACCCGAAAGCAGGTAAAATGTGCCACGCAATAGTAAAGCTTCACTTTTATATTGTGATTCAGATTCGGATGTTTCGATTTCTTCCGTACAAGCTGAAATCACATCTTCATATTTCATTTCGTCCAAAGCTTTTTTGGCACGCGCAAATCCTTTCAACTCCACTCCTTCGTTTGCATCGGCAATGGATATGCCTACAAGTGGATCCGCCACAAATGAACGCAAATAAGTTTGAATAAAGTTACTTGATGGCAATACCGGTACATGTTCTTTGAGACCGCGCTCAGTATCCTCACGACCAGTTTGTTTCAGTATGCGATCTGCATACATTATTGTACTGTTATTTTGGAACATTTCCAATATACACGTCGCTGTCACATCATCTAAACATTCCATCAAATCATTTGTGGCTTCGTGTGCCTTAGCGCGTCTGTAATATGCCTTTGCATATTGAGGATTGAATTCAAGTGAACGCGAGCAATCTTCTTTAACACGATTCCATTTTTTTAACATTTCATATGAGGCAGCACGGTTTTGATAAAATATTGCAAGCTCAGTACGATTTTCAATCGGACATTTATCTATTGCTTTATCGTAAAACGAGATTGCTTCGTCGTATTTGCCATTACGATAGCAAACATTGCCATCATTCTTGTACATGGTAGCTTCCTTCAGAGGTGACAACTTTTCATTTTCCAGCTCGGCATTCTTTTTCTTCCGCTCTAATTCCTTATCCTCGTTAGTACCATCAATAGATAATGTTTGTTGCTTGTCTTTGGTGGATAGTCCTTTCTTACGATCAGCCGCATCGTTATCGCCGATTGGCTTCTTTTCTTCTACAGATTTCCGATAAATGTAGACACCTAAACCAATTGCGACGGGTGTGCCGATGAGCAATGCCAATTGCCATCGCGTTAAACTTATAGAACCGTAACGATATGCCATACTTATTTTGTACTGGTTTACGTCTTGAATAACCAATAGTTTTCTCTAAAACATACAAAATATATTTACATTTTACAATATATTATATCAATAAATTCACACACAAAATAACAGTTCGTAACGCACTTAGCGCATTCGCACCTTAAGGTTACATCAGTGTGGTGTGTGTAGATAAGAAACTGGTAATCACGTTAGTGCTAATTTTTTTATTTCAACATCGCGCCCAAGATCATAAAAACAAAAGATGGTAATCGATTTTTCTTTTGGCAACAAAATCAAGAAAGAACCGGTGTACTGGGCGGAAAGAATGCATGGTTGCATACATATTTACCTCTGTTTTCTTACTCAACAATCCCGTTAGTAGTTACGTCGAAATTCGGTAGTTTGAGGCAGAATGCAATGCACGTATTAATTTCTGGTTGTCATGAGCTTGATACTTATATTTCAATGAGAATTTTATACATGAATTAATTTGTTTTTCTCACGGAAGAACTAATATTCTGATTATATCGGTGAGAAGATAGCTGGAAAAGAAATAAGTGCAATTTGACATGTGTATACAGAGTTGCACAACGACCGATACTAAATAAAATCTATTACGTTCCGAGAGCGCCTGGCTGTAATCGGTTTTTAGCTTTTAAGCTGATTTAAATTGTAAAACAGTTATTTACAAGTATATATATATATATATATACAGTGATGTGCGATGAAATAAAGCCATACATTTTCTGATGATATTATTGCACTTAAATTTTTTTTAA